TGGGAAGCTTATGCTTTTGCTAATCTAGTGGCTAGCATCCAACGCTATGATGTGAACGTAATAGTAGATTTGAGAGTGGTGTGAGGTCATGTCCTTACGTAAGTTCACAAATATTTTCTGCTATTATGCTTGAAGCTTTCACTAAACACAGTTCATTTATTCATTCATCTTTAGTAACTGCTTTATCCTGGTCAGGGTCGCAGTGCATCCAGAGCCTATCCTGGGAACGCTGGGTATGAGGCAGGAATGCATCCTGGATGGGATGTCAGTCCATCTCAGGGCACCATGCACACACATTCATACATTCATTCTCACAATTTAGACTCACCAGTTCACCTACCAGCATGTTTTTGGGAGGTTGGAGGAAACCAGAGAACCATGAGGGAGCTCACACAGATACAGGAAGATCATACCAAATTCCACACTCAGGATCGAGCTCAGCAATGTGCCACCATGCTCCCATTAATACAGTTTAAATGTAAAATAAAACTTTCTGTCGTTATCATAGTGATGACATCTAGAGTGCTGAATGTTTGTCCTTTAGATCTGATTTTGTCCTTCATAATAACTAGACAGCAGGGATATCAGATCAACGCCATTGCTCTGAGACGTTTGATGAAAGACGGCTACTCTGTATGCTGTGATATAAGCCTTTTCTGAGCCACACCACAGTTTCCTGCTGAAATAACCTCCACTTAATACAATTATCCTGTCCTATCCTGACTGTGATCACATTCACTTGCCATTTCTTTCTGCCTGTTACACACATCTGTATTCAGTGAGAGTTTAAGCCCTCATAATCGGCTCAAGTGGACAAACATGTCCGCTTAGCACAAGCGGTTGTATAGCAGACCAGTAACTCAGCACAGGTTGGTGCTCTCTGCTCTAACACACCTCATTCCACTCATGATGGCTAATGATGAAGGCCAGCCTGGACCAAATGTGCAATGTGTTTGAGCTCCTGCATTACCTAATAGCCCCAAGCTAGATATCAGGTGTTGTGTCCTTATGTAGGATTCTCCAAATCAGTGCTTTTTATTATATTTTTATTTTTATTATACTCTGCAATAACAGCCCAGTGTGCAAAGCTGACAAATTTCCAACTGTTTCAGAAATGTGAAACTTTCTGTAATGCCAGTTTTGTTAACTGCTTATACATTTTTATATTCATTGTGCAGGTCTACAACTGTCTGTCTCTTTTTTGAAATACTTTCTTTTTTTTCCCCATGATAATGGATGGCACACGGCTTTTGCATGTGTGCAACGTCATATTTATAGCCCCAGGGAACAGCACACGTTTAAAGGCAGCAACAGAATTTCTGTAGACTGGGAGAATTTTCAAGAATGAAAATTTGTTGGAATTTATTTAAATATTCCCTGGAGCTATCAATCATTTTGGCACATAAATATTTGAGGGAAAATACTATTTTTTTCAAAAGTGTAATGATAATAATTGATATTTTGTTAGAACAATGACAAAAAGAATTTTAATTCTTGATCGTGTATGTATATATTTGTTCATATTTATGAAAGGTGCCAGTAATTCTGGACAGCACTATAATGTAGCCTGTGATGTCTATGCACTTTAGTACTAGAAATAAAAGCAAATTGAAATGATATAATGGATGTCACATAAATAAAGGCCCCTTCTAACCCCGACATGTAGAAGGCATCTTCACGCACACTGAGCTTATTTAATCATGCTAATAACCTTTAATTGATCGTATAAAGTGGAAGTGAAGGAAGTGTTTGAAAAAGAGGATAAGTGGGATGAGAAAGGTCAGAAACAATATTAACTAGTAGTAACAAGATTCAAAAATTCCCACTGTTTTCTCCAGTCTCTCATTTACAGTCTACTGAGAAACCTGTCACCACTACCTGACCTCTAAATCTGTATATTTAAGAGGCCTGATTTTTGGTGTTCTCTGAGTAGTGTTGGATTGAGGAGTATGTTTGTCAGCACGAAATGAAATAAGCCCCACTGTCAGTACATTAGAAATATATGCTGGTAACAGAACAATTGTTTAAAGTCAGAAATTATCAGAATAAGAAATAATAAGGTCATGTTTTTATTAATGCTCTGATGAGGCATTGGCTAGGGAGGTGAAGGTGAAGGCCTGGCAATGTTTTCATCGTGATTCTAATTGCAGAAGGATATAACATGACAAACAGCTCCTTTAATACAGGCGTAGGTTGCTGCTGATGATGCAGAGTCCATGTCTGAAGATTTTACATTAAGCAGAGGGATCTGGGTTCGGTCTGTCTTTGGCTTCCTGGCACTAATAATAAAGCATGACAATGAGATAACCTCAAGTCATCTTTAATCGTAAAAGTAACCATTTGGTACTTTATCCTAATTGAATCTGTGTTTCTCTCTCTTTTTCTCCTCATGTCTGATGATCTGTGGCCTGTGCTTGTGTTTGCTGTAGGTAAGTCCTTGTTTTATCTTATTTTTAATGTGTTAGGGCAAATGTAAGTATATTTATGCTGTAAAGTATTAAATAACTGACAATTCTGCTTTGAACATGTAATAGTAATGGGCTTTACAGTATATTGCAGTGGAGCTTAATTTGGCCGAGAATATTTTGCTGTCGTTTCTTTTTGTTTGTGTATTCGTCACTCTGACATTCTGTTTACCTCATTAACATAAATGTCAAAGCTGTTTAGCCTCCTCAGCAGAGAAGTCAAGCTCTGTGTGTGTGTGTGCGCGCGCGTGTGTGTGTGTGTGCGCGCGCGTGTGTGTGTGTGTGTGTGTGTGTGTGCGTGTGTTTGAGTTCCGAGTGGTGTGAGGGGTGCTGGGACCAGCCATAAGTGTTTAGTATAAATTTATATACTGTCCTTATGTAACCATTGTACTAGTGTGTGTGCGTGCGTGCGTGTGTGTGTGTGTGTCTTCTGAGTTCTGAGTGGTGTGAGGGGTGTTGAGACCATCCACTAGTGTTTAGTATAAATATTATATACTGTTCTTACGTAACCATTGTACTAGTGTGTGTGCGTGCGTGCGTGTGTGTGTGTGTGTCTTCTGAGTTCTGAGTGGTGTGAGGGGTGTTGAGACCATCCACTAGTGTTTAGTATAAATATTATATACTGTTCTTACGTAACCATTGTACTAGTGTGTGTATGTGTGTGCGTGCGTGTGTGTGTGTCTTCTGAGTTCTGAGTGGTGTGAGGGGTGTTGAGACCATCCACTAGTGTTTAGTATAAATATTATATACTGTTCTTACGTAACCATTGTACTAGTGTGTGTGTGTGTGTGTGTGTGTGTATGTGTGTGTGTGTGTGTGTGTGTGGAGTGGCAGAACAATAGCTCCGTTGGCAGACAGTGTCAGAATGTTATTTACACTATGTGAGTATGCAGTTTTGTACTCGGCCCACACTTGTTTCTCTACCGGCCCTTTCGTATTTTTCCCTCCATTCTCTTCAGTATACTTTTCTCCACCACCCCTGTGTGTGTGTGTGTGTGTGTGTGTGTGTGCGCATGTGTGTGTCCTCACTTTCTACATTATACCAGATCACACCCCACAATCTACCAAGGTGAGAGAGTAAAAAATTTATCAATACCTTCACCCCCAATACACTCTCTCACTTGTTTGGAGGAGTGGGAACAGCATCTCACATAATACGCTGTTACATAATGTATCAGTGGCAGTTTGTTTAGTTTCATTGTTTCTCTTGAAGCATGGCGCTGGGCATCCTGAAGACACACCACTGAATAATTGGGTTCAGAGTGTACCCACCTCAAACTAAACCACTCCAATGTTCCATGCAAACACACACCCAACACACATACACACTGTATTTCTTGTTCTCTATCTGTCTCACTGAATAATTCTACTGAACTCTAGTCTTTTTGTTCATTTAATTATGATTGCATTAATATTCACCACATATCCCTGGCTGTACAGAAGCAGAAGTTTCTAATGATTTTTTAATTCATTTGCAGTATAGTGGTGCTGATCCATGATCAGCTTTCCTGAATCAATTAAGATTTTGCTTGAAAAACAAAAGAGATGCAGATATAGCAAAACCAAATTGAACAATGCTTTGGGGTTATTCAGTTTTACTGATTATTTTAGTAAAAAAAAAAAAAGAAAAAGGAAAAAAAAGAAATGTGACAGATGCCTGCAAAAAATTCTGTCAGCTGTTCATCTTGCTTTGGATTATTCTGTGTTAATAGATGAGCTGTAGGCTGCCTGCTTAAGGCTTGTCAGTCTTGCAGGGTTGAACTAAATACTGGTCATGAACTGTGCCCAGAGTAAATTAGGTGCTCATACATATTGCATAGTGCATACAGTAACGGTGTGGAATAATAGTGCTGTATGTCCACAAGTACTGACTGGTAATCTATGCAGCATGAATAATACATGGTTTAGGAGGATGCATGAAAGGACTTTATGGTTTATCTTTGTCCATGCACATGGTATATTTCAATTACAATAACACAATATGTAGAAATAATTAGAACAAATATGATGTATTATTTATTAAATGATCAGAACAGTTCGCAAAACTAGTTCTTTCTAACTTACATACAAATGGGGATAATTGCCATTTCAGTAATGTTGAAGAAGCACCTAATTGCCATACAGCTGCTGCTGAACTGACTGGGAAACTCACTTGTTGAAAAGTTTTAAAGAAGCAGTTTGAGAACTCCTGAGTGGCGCAGCAGAAATAGCTCCTGAGTGGTGCGGCAGAAAACATTCGCCATATAGTCCATTGTGATTTTGAATCCCCTCGATGCCACAGCGATCTGTGGCCGGAAGTCCAAGACAGCCATATTGGCCATGCTTTCTGGGTGAGAGGGGTGGCATATTCTCTCTCTCTCCCCAAACAATCACAACAACACTAGCCAATCATGGGTGTCTGTGAGCTCATGTAAGCGAAAGGGGGGTAGATAGTGCTTTCCTCTAACTGTGTTACGCCGCCCTGTGATGCAGAAAGGATGCAACTGGTTGGCTTTATGTGTCTCAGAGGAAGCACATGATAGCCTTCACTCTCCCTGGTTGGTAGCTCAGTGGTTAAGATGTTGGACTTCTGACTAGAAGGTCATGAGTTCAAATCCCAACACTGCTAGGCCCTTGAGCAAGCCCCTTAACCTTCAACTGCTTAAATGTATAAATGTAAGTCACTCTGGATCTGCCAAGTGCCATAAAAAATATATTTAGAGCCCTCTGCTGCCTAAAGGTGGAGTTGCAATTGCAATGAACAATGCCAAGACAAAAGTCCTCTGTACTGAAAACATGCCTGTGGTAGAAAACATACCACTGACCCCGGAAACTTCCATAAAAGTTAATTAAACATCTCCGTACAGAAAGCTTCGCTATATCAATGATTATATATTTTTATCTTTGGTAAATTAGAGTATGTTTTCCATCCATCCATCCATTTTCTGTACCGCTTATCATACACAGGGTCTCAGGGAGCCTGGATTCTATCCCAGGGGACTCGGGGCACAAGGTGGGGGACATCCTGGACGGGGTCCCAACCCATCGCAGGGCACAATCGCACACACACTCACACACACATTATGGACAATTTAGAGATGCCAGTCAGCCATACAATGCATTTGGACTGGGGAGGAAACTAGAGTACCCGGAGGAAACCCCTGAAGCACAGGGAGAGCATGCAGACTCTGCACACGCAGGGTGGAGGTGGGAATTGAGCCCCCATTATTTGATTGAGAGGATTAAAATAAACCTGTGATTTGCCTTAAAGCCAGTCCTACTGTCTGAACCGCTGTTATCGAAGGATTCGACAGTACTTTTGTATAATATACTAGATTAGATTGGATTTAATTTGATTGGACAAGCAGCGTTCCAAGAGCGCTGATAATTAGTATAACAGGACTGGGACATTTCACTGTTTGTATCACTCCGCTTGTCTGTGTTTGCTACATAAATTCGCAATTCTAGTAATAGTTTGTTACATTGAAACCATTAATGGCTCTATCCAGCTTTTTTGCGAGCTATTTTTGTTTATGGAGCAACAATAAACATAGTATTTGGCCATATTGTGTCTGAAAAGTCAGGTACTCAATATTGATTTCTTGTTTATGGATCTGTTGTATAAAAGCAACATCACACTCACTATCGTGATTACCTGCGGCCTCGTGCCTACGGCCGAATTACAGCCATGCTTGTGTGATATTGCTTAATTAATTACAGTTTAATTACAATCTGTAATCACTTTATATCAAAATTGACTGATTGAGATACAGAGGTGTTCATATTACCTGTTAAACTTCCATATGTGTTGTATTTTAAGACCACCTGACTGTATGGAATCACAAATGGTCACACACATTCTAGGTCTTTTAGAAGAGGTCTGAATGTGTTTCTCTTGTCATATGAAAGCCTACTGTCGGCTATAGTTCTGTGACTGACACATCCTTTGTTCTAAAATTGATTGCAGACCGAAGATTCGACTTGGAAGCATAAATCACTCTGACACTTTAAAACATGCGGTCTGAACTCTGCAGCCTGTGTCAAGGAAGTCATAAAGCAGCAGGTTCACGCCTGGCTGATTCACCGTTATTCTAGTGAGTGAGTCAACAGCAAGCTCATAACAAAGCATTCATGAAACAGCACATAATACATGCTTTTTGTGTTTATTCATCTGTTGTTGTATATAGTTTTGGGCTCATTTAAGCCTGCAGGCCAAAAAGCTTTCGACCTATCGGTGCCAGATGATATCTATTTTAACACAAGGTTTTGCAGCCAATACTGTTGTAGACAAGATGGATTTTCCTGGTATTTAGTGGCCCCTGGCTCACCATTCATATTCCATTTTGTCTGCCATCGATTTCCACACTGACTCAACAACACCCTAGACACAGTCTTTCCCTTTAAAGGAGCAGAGGCAACAAATGAAACGCAGCTTTATTTCCTTCTAACTAATCATACAACCTCCCAAACATGACTGAATACGACAGAGGTAAGATATCTAGCCCTTTCAGGTTTTTATTTATTTTTTATTAATTTTATTTTTGTATGGTATGTGATGTTTGGTGACCACTAACAATTTTTTTTTTTTTTTTTGGTCTGTGTTGTTCCAATTCTGGTGAGATCGTGCTGCAGCATTGCCACTTTAAGTCACTATCCCTTATCGATATATATGCATGATTGTGGAAAAAACCTTAAAACTAAGGAACTATAAAAACGTCTTACATCATTCCACTTTGCTTGTAGATTTTAATATTGCGCTGTGTGTGAGAGAGAGAAAGAGAGAGATTAAAGAAGCTATAAACTGAGTGACTATACACTCGTTATGCAAAATGTTTACTACTAAACTCCTCAAAACAGCAAAATGAAACTTAAACATTGAAATTGAGACTTAGTAGTCAGACGAATCAAAATGATCAAAAGACTTCAGAAAGAAGAGGAAAGGAATAAAAAGATGAAAGCAAGAGACAGTGTGAGATTTGGTAATAACCAGAGAAAAGCTGCTGCAGTGAGAAATCGATCTGCTTCTAATGTTTATACTCACTGGTACGCAGTCTCTACTGGCACTTCAGTCTTGGGTTTCTGGGTTCTGTTATCGTCAGGGCTAATATTTAGGGTTTGCTGCTTTTTATTCAGCTTTAGCTGTACTTCTCAAGACAGGGTTCATGTATCCCCAGGGTCTGTGACATGTAGCCAGGTGCAAAGATGCCCTAAATATCTAATATGAAAATGCTTCATTTGAGAAATGTTCTTATTATTTTAAGATACTGAGATAAAAGTAATAATAACAATAAAAAGTCGTCTTATTTTGCTTTTAAAACAGGGTTCCACAAATTTAACACTTGACGTTATATTTATTTATATGCACATTTTGCCTCATTTATCAAGCTGTATATGAACAAATGTATTGCTAAATTGTTCGCAGGAGCATTTACACAAGAAATGTGACAATCCAGTTAGTTTGGAAAAACATTCACATCCTACAAGTGCTCCTGCAGTGGCTGAGCTGCATTACTGGAAGATTTAGAACACGCCATGCTTATCAGCTGCTCTTTCACTGTTTAATACCATTTTCTGCTGTTTTGTGGCCTTCACTAAATGAAATTTTCCTGTGCCATGAATACATTTGGTAATTTATGGGTGATTGGGTATCCACGTATGCACGTTAGTATGAAGAGGTAAATCAATGTTACCAAATACTTGTAAATCTGACAGGATCGTTTGGTTCTGAAAGTTTGGCCAACGAAAGCATTTATACATGACTTTACTAAAAGTCTAATAAATGAGACATATTATAAATGAGACATAAAATAAATGTTCTCTGATTTGCTTTTACACTAGAACTCACATTTAGCTGAAAAATCTGCAACCCCAGCGCTATAGAATATTCTGATTTTCTGCTTAAATGTTATATCTACTTTTTTCTCCTGCCCTTGTCTTATGATAACCTGGACACTTTATCTTATTTAGTCAACAACAACCCCATCCTCTATTATGTTTCTTCTGTGTACACTGTATCTTGATTTTTTTTAGTGACGTGCATGTACGGAGACTATACCTGGACTGCAAACCTGTCTTTATCCCTGAATACTTTTTTTTGCGTTAAATCAGTCTCACTATGTCAGAATATAGAAAATTGCACAATTGTGTCTGACATTTTTATGAAAGGAGGACAGCAACTGAGGAAGGAAGGTGATGGGCTGCTAAATAGGAAACAGAATTTTACTGTTGTCAGTGGTTTTGGATATTTTTACACCATTGTGCTGATTGGAACCAATCAAGCCCGGTTTATTCAGTCCTACTGTGAAATTACATTCCAGAAGTCTTTGTAGAACCTGGAATAGATACAATTACAACTGTGAGAATGGGAAACCTGGGCTTTTTCATTATGTATCTATGGTCAGAACATCCATATTAGTTTTTTTCTCTTCACTAGTTTTGGAAGTGAGCTGCATGCTTTGAGCTCTGCTATGGTCATTTTTGAGCATTTTTGCATGGTGTTACGTGTCTGAACCGTTTGTCTGCTTGCGTATGAGGGATGTGATTAAATCTGAATCTGCTTAGTCTGTCTGGCTGTCTGTCTGTCTCTCTCTCTCTCTCTCTCTCTCTTTCCTTCTACTATGCTCTCTGTCCGTTTTCTAAAACCACATATTTCAGTAAAGTGTCAGCCAGTCCTGTGAAGAAAAAAACAAACACCATAAAGAATATCATCACTAAAGACCTAAGAAGACTGCTCATGAAACACATTTTATTAAAAATATATATAAGAAGCTAGACTTGTGCATATATTTGTAACCTGTAGGTAATTAGTTACTTTAAGACAAAGTTATTTGTAAGATTTCAGTTATACACTCTATAATTATCTAATATTAGGCCATGACTCTGAACGTAATCCCAACTGCCAGGCAAATAACAGGTTTATATTAATGCACTTGTTCGAATACTTTCTTGTATGCCTAATACGCCTGATAATAAATTAATTATTCATAACTGGATAGAAAAGAGCTGCCCTAAAACCACAGAGTCAAGTCTACACCCATAAAGCTCAGAATTACATATTTGCCCATAAAGCAAATCCATGCCAGGACATTCATGTTGTGCAGCATGTCTTTCTTCTTTAGTGAGTTGACTGAGGTGGATACATAATCTCATACAAACATCTGATTGAATTTGATTCTGGGTCTTTATTTATCAGTTGAATATATGAAAGCACTACTACCAAATTCTGATTTATACATATGTCTCTCTTGTTGTTGTTTAATTTGTCCGAGCTGAACTTCCCCCACTTCCTCCACACTTATCCAGCATCTATAATAAACTGTCCTGTCTAAATAAAATGTACTATTTTGGTGCAGTCTGTCCCAAATGTCTGTTGTTTTTCACTCCTGGCATCCCACAGTCAGGCCTGCACTCACAAAACAACTTCAAATAATGTAGCACTGATCCAGCATGAGAGCTCTGCTTTCTCTCCACACCTCCATCACTGAGTGGGGGATAAGCAAACCTGCTCTGCAATGAACAAGCCCTGACTGAGCTTCTGTAAGAATGCAGACCCCAGAGGTTGCTGGCAGAGAGCACAAGTTCTGTAAGGGCTTTAAATCTCATAAAGTAGCTTGACGTTCCTGGGGGAAGG